AAAAAAAAAAAAAAAAAAAAAGGAAGAAAAAAAAAAAAGGAAGAAGAAGAAGAAGAAGAACATTTCTGACATGGCGGATTGCACATTTCGTCTTCGTGTCACGACACAGTCGTATGTGCACAGTTAGTGAAAAGCAATTTGAAATTTGAAAACCACTCGAGCGGCCAACAAAATAGCAACCTGATAGTAATCCCGGGGTCATGCAGAACCAGCGGAGGCAATCGCCTGTTCCTTAACGCCGAAACCCACAGGCCTAACCACAGAGCAGCAGATATGCCTAAGCCTGCAACCCTTAGCCCAAAGTTGATAATTACTGTTGTTAAACCCCCAAACCCCCAACCCTGGACCCTAAAACCCTGTAAAAACTGTTTCTAAACCCCAAAACAGTGACCCTAAACCCTTAAACCCTTAGCCCAAAGTTGATAATTACTGTTGTTAAACCCCCAAACCCNCTGTAAAAACTGTTTCTAAACCCCAAAACAGTGACCCTAAACCCTTAAACCCTTAGCCCAAAGTTGATAATTACTGTTGTTAAACCCCCAAACCCTCCACCCTGGACCCTAAAACCCTGTAAAAACTGTTTTTAAACCCCGAAACCGTGACCCTAAACCCTGAAACCCTTAACCCTGGACCCTAACCATAAACCTTACTCCCCTCCCTTAACTGCCACATCCTCAACCCCAAAATCTTCAACCCTAGGCCAATAACCTTACAGACTCGATAGGCTTTGAAGCAGGACACAGTTTCACTCTTTTTTTTTTTTTTTACTAAATTTTTAGACATCCGACATAACTGGAGCAGGTTCAATGTGTGCATTAAACTGCTTTATGTTTTTTTAACTTTTTTTTTCCTGTGTATTATGTATGCTCTAACTCGTGTGCCTAATCGGGCCACCGGGATCTGGTTGCGCCCTCCGCCAAGCACGACGGGGCAGCAGGCCCTGAACAAAGGGGTCCAACAGGCCCTAAAAAATGGCCTAGACCGACAAATGTCGACAGTCAACTCGTGGACCCAGGCCCAGATCCGAGAAGTCGAAGTCAACGCGCAAGATTCCCTGGCCGTCGGTCTGGAATGATCTGACAGTGGTCTGCAGGTTCCGGAAGATTCAGGCCTCAAGCCTCACGGAGTCCAGACCGAAAGTGGGACAAATCGGATGAGCCGGGGCCTCACATGGACCGACGCTGAACCTGGACAGGCGAGTCAACTTAATATAGTCTGAATATAAGTTATGTCCCTTCCACGCGCTCTCACGTCTGATGGTGATGATTATCTCACATGGATGAGCCAGGGCCGCAACTATATTAAGTTGACGTTGCCACTGCTTGGATATTCGGTCTTGTGAGTTGTGTGCGGCGACGACGCTGCACGGGAGACTTGAGAGGAGGTGCTGGCACCAGGCTGTGGGATGGGCGCCAGCGAGACACTACAGTAAAGAGAGAGGAAGAGGGCGGCCACGGCCGCAACCGTAGATGACGGCGAGGGAATGAGGAGAGGGAGAGAGAGAGAGAGTGTGGGTGATGTGAGTCGCCGTGTGTACGTACCTGGTTTCTTCAGATGTGAAGCTGCTGCCGATTCTGCTCGCTGTTGGAGGATCGTTTATCCGCGAGGGGCTGCTTCCACATCGTCCACGTGTTACATGGAGTGCTGACATGGCACATTGAGTGCATATTGCTGATGTGGCACATTGTGTGCATATCGCTGATGTGTCATATTGAGTACGGAGTGCTGACGTGGCACATTGAGTGCATATTGCTGACGTGGCACATTGAGTATAAATTGCTGACGTGGCAGAGGTGGGGAGCCTGAAGGAGAAAAGGGCCTTACACTTTTCCTTCCTACTGTCTATTCTCCCCTCCTCTCTTTTCTGGATACTGTAGACTTTGAGACATACACGTGGTAAAGAGGAACCATGTACTTCAATGACTTCGAACTGATGGACTTATTGGATTGATTATCTCTCGACATTGCACGACATTGTTATCTGCGACATGATTGGATGACGAGACTGGGTTCATTACATGTATGACAGAGGCAAAAGGCATTCTATGAATCTTACCCCTCCAGAGGGTGTTTTCTATTTCTCATGCTAATCTTTATTCTTTGTATCGTTCGAATTTTAAGGGATGTCTCCGAGAACATCTCCAGAGGATCTCTCTCTCTCTCTCTCTCTCTCTCTCTCTCTCTCTCTCTCTCTCTCTCTCTCTATATATATATATATATATATATATATATATATATATATATATCTGTTGCTTGACAGCACAAAAGTGTGAATGCAACTGGTCAATTCACTGCATCAGATACATTTGCACATTTGCGTTTTTTTTGGCCACCCTAATCTTCTCTGTATCGTTACAATCTCTCTCTCTCTCTCTCTCTCTCTCTCTCTCTCTCTCTCTCTCTCTCTCTCTCTCTCTCTCTCTCTCTCTCTCTCTC